CGAGAGATAAAATGATTATCGGATTTTCTTAGAATATCTTTTATATTGTATTTTACTATTCAAACCATTTCCTTTAAATAAAACACTTTGTACAAGATATATATTTTATTTTTTGTCTCTTTTTTTCTATGTCTATATTGGGTTGATCGGAAAGTTCGTGCCGATGTTGAAGGAAAATTGAAACGCAGAAAATTTTAATTTAATAAATGTATATTAAAAGTTAAATTTTAGTCGGCACGAATCGACGAAGTCGGTTTTCTGGAAAACCCAATATGATTTATTCTCTACATTCTTTGGAGTGAATCTCACTCTTTAGAGTAAGATTCTCTTTCAAGAATTTAGAGAGTACACTGAGAAAAATGTTTGGCTAAAAACGGACAAAAATCAGAAGATTCTGATTAAATCAATCAGAATTCTTATCTTAACTAGAATTTTAATAAACTTAATCAGAAAATTTTCTAGTTAAATCTATTAGAATTTTAGTTGAGAAACTAAAATTCTATTGATATATATAGCAAAAATAAGCAAAATATTCTTCTAGTTTGTCCGTTTTTAACTAAACATTTTTCTCGTAATTCTATATAACTATATACAATATATACATATTTAAAGCATATAGTATAATATATAATATGTAACCCTTACGTTAAAAAAAACCTATCCTTTTAAGTAAATTTTAAGTAAAATAATATCATTATTAACTAAAAATTTGATTGAAATTTTACTCAACATTTTCATTTGGTAGCTATTATCAGATTCTTTTTCAGTGTCTATCTATAGAAATTTGTTTTCTATTTCTTTCTCGTAAGATTCTAAGTTTGAATCTAATAAAAGGTATAGACTGAATAGATAATTTAAAAGAAGTTTGTTATTTGTTTAAGCAAGTTTAAGAACTAGATATATATATATATATATCTTCATAAGATATATCAGACTGCCGATGTATTGTATCGGGCAGATGAGTTGTGAATCACGACAACGAAACAACGCAACGATGTAACATGGGCTCGGAAGTGGAACAACGCACGCGTGCATCCGGATTCCTATGGGAAGTCTTCCGCGTCGTGTCTCGTCGTGTAGTGTCGTAGTTTATGTCGTTTCTCACTAACGAAATTAACGTCTCTTTCGAATATGGACGAATATAAAATGAACACTAGTACGGCACATTCTATTTTCGTTCGGCGCCCCAGTTGTGTCGGCATTACATGAAATTTAAGTAGAAGTCATATTTAAATGCGATCGATTGCTATCGCCGATAAGAACCAAACAGAGCATGATGGAGCGCGGTCATAGGTCATCTTATTCCGTCTCTCCGTCTTTGACATCGCTAACTAAATCTTGTACATAAATGCAGTAATTCTATTTTTTTAGATATATTAGATTTTATATACATATTAAATAATATATATTAATTTGCAACGGCACATTATATTAAATTATTAACAATACTATTAATAATTTTGAATTTTCGATTTTTATAATAAATGTCATTAAATTCTTTATGTAAAATTTTTTTAAAGTGAGAAGCTTTATTAAAATATTAATAGCAAAGCTCATTAAACTTTTTGTGTAAAAATTTTTAAGTGAGAAGTTTTAAAATATTTAATAAGTAATACGTATCTTTCAGAAGAAAATAAAAGATATATGTATTATTTTAATATAAAATTTAATTTAATATCGAATAATTTATTTATTCATGTAATCCTTTCATTTAAGAATAACATTGGACTAATTTATTTAAGAATAATATTGAACTAATTCATTTAAGAATTATATTCGACTAAATATTAAATTTTGTAATCTAAAAACTCCTATTGATTCTTATCTTTCATTTCAATATCTTGCTTTCTCTACGAGTTTTATTCTTTAAAAATAAGAAATAATTCGAGCGTTCACATTCGCGCGTCACATTCAGCTAAATGTAGTCGCAATGAAAAAAAAGAAAAAAATCACCGATATCGGTGTACTTTATTGCGCCGACACTGTTTGGAGTCAGTCGTGTATACCGTCGAATAAACTCGATAGAGTTCAAACCGTCCGGCCGCCATTGCTCGGTCGGCCCGAGTCGTCGTACATAGAAATCTAGGCCGCATTATGGATCTACATGCAGATAGCTTACGTGAGGAGCTACAGTTGAGCGCGCGTGATCATCTCGAATTTGAAAATCGGTCAATAAATTCATTACTTTGCGCCGCAAAGAGGCTACTTAGGATCCTAATTAAGCAGCCGATGTCTTTCATAAAAAGAAATTTTTAATGTAGCTTCAATATCTAATCCTATTATATCTTTTGCATATTCCTGCATAATTCTTTTATGCCAATTAAACGCTGAGCAAATCTTTGCTTTTTTAATATATCCGTTAAGCGTCAAATTTTTTTCCACTCCATTCTGGTTTTTCTGGATTTTAGTAACCGGTTAATATCGCGAATAGGTGTGCAGAAGTTTAAGTATCATTAAGTATCATTCCACATTTTGTAGATCTGTAATTCAAACTAGTCTTCATACGACGTCTATTATCATTTAATTAACGTGAATTTCCATTTCAGACTTTCAGACATGCGAAATTAGGATGTCGCCTCGATGATTGTTTTAAATTCTGACGCAAGGTTTACGCGTGATTATTCAAACAGAGGTATTGTACATTATTTAATAGAACGTATTTATATAAAATATCGACATAAAATACGTATCATTCTGTTACATTCCTGTAAATTTATTCAGGACACAGCGAGATAATGAAATTCCGCGTACTTTCACATTTCCTCCGTTAACAGAAACATGATATCGTATTATGGCTGAAGTAGATACTGTGTAAACATGTTTTCTATTGTCATTTCAAAAATTATTTCGCGATGGACAAGATGTTACAACCTTGTAACTTTTTTAATACTAATATCTTTCCTTATTTAAAATAAAATGATATCTATATGATTCAAAGGTATGCAATGTAACGAAGATAACAAAGACAGCAATAAAATGAATCATGGAAACATATCAATAAAGAATCATAAATTTTTTCGACGACGATTTTTACTTGAGAAATTCTATTGTGCATTATGAATATCCGCACTATAGTTTCTTACATTTTAACTTGATTATTTAAGAGTAAGCAAAATAAATCATTGTTTTTTAATTTAAGATAAAACTTAAGAGATTTAACTTTTCTTAAACTGTTTCTTAAACAGCTTAACAGCTTAAACTGCTAAAATAAAGAATTTTTTCCTAAAGTGGGAAACACGATTTTTTTTCTGGATTCAAGAAGATACATTTTCTACGCAACGTTTATGAATGAGCTATTTTCAGCCCCTCTGTTTCTCTCTCATGAATTTATATAACACGATATTCGACAATGTCCCGAAGCTATGCACACACAAACCCTGCTTATATTTTATATTTAATTCACGCATTAATTTGGATGTAACGCATCTCGCAAGCGACAATATGTTGCTTAAAGTAATGCATCATTTAAACGACTCTGAATGATGGCATTAAAAATCTTCCCCAGCAACGATCACCAATTATTTATAATTACAATCGACTCAAACTTGCGCAGCTCGTGCATTGTGACTATAAATATATGATGTCGCAATTCCGCACTGCGTGCTTCTGATACATTTATTAGAACTACATTATGATAACTTGACTAATCTCGCGAGATTAATATATTTAGGAAATTTCTTACGCATGTTTACGAGTTCATAATGATAACATTCTTAAAATAATTCATAAAATAAAATTTCATATTACGATAATGGTAGTTCTTTTAAAGTAAACAACTAATTTTTCTATTACTTTATTGCATTATCGTTTATATAAGAATTTATGAGTTACTCAAAAAATTAGGTCAGACATAAAAAAATCAGTTTAAGAATAATTTACTAAGCTATTTAACATTAAAAATGAATTTTCGCCAAAAATGTCAAATTATATTTTTACTTAAATCAAATCAAATATTTGAAGAACAATATCTTAGCGTGACAGAAATAGAAAAGTGCAGCGCATTATTAAATTTTTGAATTGTAGCGTCGCGCGCGCAGTTAGGTGCACTTTGCTTAGATAGTATCACACACGGTTGAATGGATCGATAAACTCACGGGCAAAATAGGACGACACATAATGGAATCATTTATATACTATCCGCAAAAATGATCGTCGCTGAAACCGCATCGTTTTGCGCACAATATATGTGAGCACCTCGTGAAAATTAAACGTCATCGCTGCTATATAGCTACCATTCTGTAGGATGACGCGTAATTCACAAATGATCGTGAAAGATTGATTATTTCACGATAGAAAAAATTGTATGGACGATAATAAGTCACTATAAAATCATTAATTTTTTTTATTATTTTCTTTTATAATAGATCGCATTAAATGACGATAGTATATGTTTATGGATTCGCGGTTATATTAGAATAAAATATAAAAATATATCTTTTGCATTTAATCTTTACAAGAGGAAAGTCACTCTAGTAGCGTTGGAATAATACCATATTTTGAGACAAAGAATACAAAAAATACAAATAAAATAATTGTTATAAATAATGATTTATAACAAATCTTATTTAAAAAAAAGCTCTCTGTAAGATTTTTAAAATAGACACTCGCCTACAAAGGTTATAATAATATGTTCACTCTTTTTTATATGCAGAATTGTGTATTAAAATGAAAGAACAGAGTATATATCTTAGTGAAAGATATTATAAGCTAAGCTTATAATAGATATCTCAAAAGATTTCAATAATAAGTTAACATTAATAGATTTCAGAAATAACAATCTTTTTTTAAATGTCATATGAATCAGAAATATCTGATAAAAATATTTAAATAGTACTTATCTCGGAGAGATAACTATATTATTATGACAAATGATTAATTTATTCTGGAATATAATTGCTACTTTATACTATTTAATTTATAATTACATGATCGATATAATCGGAAAATTTGCGTGAAGCCTCCCCATCGTAAAACTTTTTGCATTTAAAATATGTACTCACCCGCTAGAATCAAGTTGCGCTCTTGCTTCAACAGGCAATCCAAAAATATATGGAACATGTGTGTGTTTGTATATATATATATTTATAGATATCAACGTATATATATATATATTCAACGTGTATATATAGAAGCTCCTAATATCGGCATGAAACGTTAATCACAGTTGCTGCTCCTTTACACTCCTCAAAGCGTTGATGATGCGATGTCGTCCAGTTGGTGATCTTCGATCGAGCATTCCTACTCAAGACGTCGCGTGTTAACGTTCGCGATTACGAGATCACCAGCTCGTTGACGAAGAACGAATGAGACGTAATGAGAAAAGACGAGAGATTGTACGGGCGAGACAGAGAACGAACGCTATTTAATTGCGCGTAATCAAGAAAAATAAATCAGGAGGAATGACGAGAGAGCAGAGCCGTAGAGAGCGACGGGCTCGATCTCTCGCGAGCGCGAGACAAATTTACCATAAATTACCGGAATAACGGAAAAGCACCGGTTGTCTCGGCGAGATGTATTACGTCTATAAATTACGGTTATCACAGGACAAAATGGATTTGACCCCTTTCCATCTACTATCTGCTAGCATTTATGTTAAAATTAACGATTTTTAATTATGTCCTTGATACTATCGTAAATCGCAAGATTTAACATTGACGCGAGAAATTTTTGCATGTACAATAAACGATAAGCGCATATTTTCTAATTCGTATTCACATATTCAGATAAATCGCGCTCATAATGGATGCTCGACATATTATATATCATGTAATTATATCTTCTCAATCCCTCTCGTGTGCATGGATGTATATAAAATTGTATGTACCGTCTATCTTTCTCATTATAAGAATCGCCGATTAAAACGTAAAAAATTTCGACCGTGACAAATCCTCTTCCCGCGATTGTTCGCGATAACCAGCCTCGATCATTCTTTCATTTATAATACATGTAACTTTTTAATCATCCACGAAATTTCACCACGTTTATCCATTAGGTATGTCGTAACTGATTATTCTCGAGATTGACAAAAAAAAATCAGAGATCGATACAATGAAAAATAAAAGATGCAAAAGCATTTCTGTTCAAACAAAGTTCGAATCGCGAACTCAATACGTTCGACCGTTTATGTAATTCTTCCGTGGGAACTTGGTGTTACGAGCAATCGCGTGATTTCTCTCGCACGTGGTAAAGCACCTTGCAAACTCAATGTTTTCCAGTTTGAAACGGTACCGCCGAAAACATTATTTCAGACGTCGTTTCTGTGCACCGAGGGAAATTCTCCTCGTACTTACATTCCCCGCGGTATAAATTAATTCTATGCGTAATACTCCGCTTGTGTGTGCTAAGCGCGAAAGCGCGGTATTAACGAAGTTCGGAATTATACTATGGAATCGAGCGTGTGGGTCACTTAAATATCAGTTACGTTAATTTCCACTTGCATGCGAAACGTGTTCATGAGAGTCAATTTTGAAATCCAGCCGATGGTGGACTCCGATTGCGAAGATGATACGGTGCGATGTACTTTTTAATTGATAGGTGTACGCTTTTTAATTAATACTCGTAAAATAAATACACGACATCAAAATTGCGTCGTGTTATAACCAAAAGCAATCATTTATTTATTCCGCCGAGTCACAGTCGAGATGTAGTAAATTTCATTATTAATTAATCGATTCGTTTATAAACACTAATGGATGCTATCCAGTCAAATCGAATTTATCGACAGCCCTTCTTCCAATATTTAAGCGGAACAACGCCCATCGAATATTTCAAGTTGTCCCTTGTTTATTGACTGCATCTATTTTGGTGAATAATAAAAATAACATAGAACGTCGCTTTATTGTCATGATAAAATTGAAACGGTATTATCATCGATAATAATTTATACACGTTTACGTTCTGATTATTATATTGTGTGAGATTAAGAGCTCAAGATATTATCATAGGTATTTTGATGAACGTTAAATGAGATTATATATATTCTTAAGAAGATATATGCCATACATTGTAGATAATCTTTTTCAAATTTTTAATAACCAATTAATTTACTTGTACTTAAAAAAAAGTAAAAATATTTTTAATGAATACGACGATATGTGATTTCAATTGGAACGATCGAACGTACACGATAATTTTTATCACATTTTACCTTCAATTTCCAGAAATATTCTCGCCGAATTTAATAATAACAAACTTCATGAGTCTCGTGTAATAAATTACGCAAGCACATCTCATTCGATCAATAAACCTATTCAATCTTTATACCAATCGAAATAAATTCGAATCATGACGTATTATTTCTTTGAACATTCTGAAGTTTAATATAAATCTTTCATATAAATTATCTTATACTTTGCATACTAACAAAAGCGTAAAAATGATTATCTTTATACATTTATTTCTACATTTACATACATTTACATGTGTATAATTAATATATTTAATATACTCATAAATATATATCCTACATGACTTTCATTAACTAATACATTACATTTCATTAACACACTAATACACTAAAAATATTTGATTACTAAGATTTTTAATAAAAAGTGCACATGAGCAAATAAATGCATTTATTTAAACTCTAATAATAGTTTTTGTCGCGAAAAATCGCTTGGCATTTCAAAAATTAAACTGCACGTTAAATGTCAAAAAAAACAGGTTTTTTTTTGAGGTTTCCAATTGCGCGCAAAATACGCAATTTTATATACATCAAAGTTCATCGCATCGATACATTCTCATCTAGAAGAGGCAAAATAGCGAGTGAAAATCCCAACGAAAGGTTTCTGCGCATTTCAGTCCGATTTGATCTCCAGATTGTCGACGATGGCGAACGGAATCTGTTTGCCGAACACGTAAGAGTGTGAAGCCACGATGCTCAGTTCGACCGCGTAAATATTTATCCGGACCTTATTCGTCTCTCTTATTCGCGACTCGCTGAAATATTTGCGATAAGGAAGTCACGCGTTCGTATGACGCCACGTGTCATGAGTGATAAAAAAGAAACGTCTCATCACCTTCCATACTTGTTTGCTACGTATTTTAACGCCATCTTCATGACAAATTTGGCCATCAACACTACGTTCAGTTGATCACGTTCAATTTGTGCAAATTAAATTCGCGGGATAGTTTTGTACAAAAAAGATTATGATTACGACGCAGTAATAATACGTCGAAACGAACGACGCAAATATCTCCTAAATGCTGATATGTGCCAAAAACTGAGTGACAAAAAACCATCTACGTCATTCCACATGTGTACGGTAGTCATAAATTATTTTTGAAATTCAGTCTTCTTTCACAACAGCATTTCAACAAATACACGCTATTATATACGATTCGATATTATAATTAAAAAAAAATAGAACTGTTAATAGAATCGTTACTGCGAAAGCATATTGTTACTTGTAAACAGCAATTATTTCAAAAAAATGCTATTCAACTGCGCTCTGTTTGGCTCCAAAATTTATATTTTTTAGGAATAAAAAAATAAATTTGCAAATTCATGTTACTTTACTTTTGCAGTGATATCCTCTCGAAAAATTTATTACGCTTTCCAAATACGTTCTGTAATATTATGTGAATAATCCAGCGAACAAGGTAAACATACATTGCAGCAGACCGGTAGAGACACGCACATGGTAATAAAAGCGGAGCGATAAACTCGTTCACGTAAATAAAAGTTATGATTGAAAACCTTTCGGAAGCGCGACGTGGCCGCCAACGAGCAAACCGGAGCACGATTCCTATTCGATCGTAAACGCGGCATTAAACTAGCCGATGTTCGACTTCCATCGACTTCAACGAATCGCTTCGAGCGAACGACGATCCGTGGCTCCATTACCCTCGATATCCCACGTATAACTGACGAGCAGGGTTCTCAATCAGGGACATTTTATCACCAAATCCCACGAGGCCGTCAAACTACGCAAGAATTCGATCACTCATTTATCCTTTTATTTGCTTCATCGCCAAGAGTGACCTATTTTTCAAGTGTAAATAAAGAGTTTACTTGTTAGTGTTACATTTAAGGAGCTAATTTTCAATCCGTTCTAAATTTCATTGTAATGTATTTGTAAGAATAACACCTCCAATTCCTTTAAAGATTAGACATGAACAAATTTTCCTCGAGTTTATTAATATTCAGATCTATGAAATTGGTACTTCTAGATGCGAGGTTTTACTAAATTGATCAAGTATTTAATTTTTCACAATTTATCTATAAATAATAATTTTCTGTCCACTCAATGCCATATCAATTTTGTAAGAGTTCGCACTTAGGCGTGCCAACTTCATAGTCTTTAATATTCCTATATATCTTCTTTTATTACTCTGAAAATAACAGATACTATAAATATAGCTTAGAAGAACGTATTTCTTTTGAAAAATATGAAAGAACTCTTCGGTATTCTGCAGCATTTCTTCTATATAGCTATGGGATATATATTACTTTTCGCTGGTGTATGTATTACTTTTCGCTGCAATGTGATGTCATTACCGGGTTTAAAGTGCTGACCCATAACCGATATCGCGGGCTCCGAGTGACCTAATCGATATTTCATACCGGTCGTTTTCCACCCATCGGGAAGTTGTACGTTTAGTTTATCTTAACCGGCAGGTCAAACGTAAATTTCAAACTCCGCGGCGTTACCCTAAAGCGCACTTCAAAGGCCTGTTTCGCCGCGACATAAGAGGATTCGTGTGATCTCGCGACCGATACATGAGCCGAAACTCGCGCGGCTTCTATCGGGGGCTTAAAGCACGATGCCGGATTTATAACGGATGAACCACACGTACTTACGTCACTGGGACAGAAATCGTCACAATGGTATATGGGGATTAGTGAGTCGCACGTATTAGAGTATTGAATTCAGACATCCAACGAAGCTATCGATTAACGATTTAATTTAAATTGATTGCATCACAGACAAAATATTGCACGTCGCTTAAAACATGAGCGGTTCTTTGTAAAATTTATCAATATTTTAATGATCTTAGAAATCAAGTTCCCATGCGAATGCTATTTCTTTGTTTTTAAAAAATTTAATCACGTTTTCGAAATACTAGAAGAATTTTAATTGCGATATCTCTCGTATTTAATTTTTTCAAAATAAAATAATTAACAAATAAATTAATTAATTACAATTATTAATTTATTTTTTAAATAATTACGATTTGTTATTTTATATAATTTAATTATATATTTAATAAAGAGTCATCGAGGAAAATTCACTTAAAGCAAGGAATTGTTGAACATAAATTCCTAGTTGCATCTCGAAATAAATATCCAAATAGCATCCTGATGTAATGTCGAGTATCTATGTAATATTTAGGATAATCTGAACAATATCCATGAATTCAAATAACATACGTATAAAGACTGAACATACGTAGACTGTACTAGTCTGTAGTAATACCGATTATTTTAGGAAAATTCACAATTTTTCTCGATAAGACTTTACTCCGGATTGCCTCGACTCAATAACATTCAATCGCACGTATTCGAAGTCTAACTCTGTATCTCTACAATTTCAAGTTCTTGATACACGAGATGTATCGCAACTTCACTGCCGCTCCACTGGATTTTCATTGACATGAAGAAAAAGTAACAACGTATCCGGAGTACTCGGCTTCAACAACTCACGCGAAACCGATGCGAACGAGCGGATCTCTCATGCGTTTCATGAGACACGTGATTCGCGGAAGATTCTGCGCGAACCTTATTATTTCTTCCGCGTATTCGGTGGTGCATCAGTCATGGCCGTGGAAATTGCCGGCTTCCGCTCGGCTATAACGCTGTGGAAGCTGGCGAAAGGCCAGGCCCCATTCGCGCGCGTCTACGCACCGTATGCGTTTATGTATGTGTGTGTCACGAGTCTATTTTCAAATTCGACTAAAACCATCGCGTGCTCATGTCCGCCCGCCTGTGATAATCGCACCGCGTGTCTAAGTGGCGCCGATACTTTCTAGGCGCCGGCATGCATCGCGACGTCCCGCGTCGCATTCGATTTCGGCGTAATAGGCTCTACTTTAAACTACGGTGTTGCAATTCGCTGTACAATGTAATTACGAATACTCGTTGATAAATACAGAAAATATGAGACGATTAAAGATCTTCAAAAGATTGGACACCGTTTAGACAACTTCTGATTGATCCGCCACATTTTTCAAGACTTAAGAATAATGAGATGCGTAGATATCTATTTTTATAATATAATCTGTCTTGTTCTATCTTAAGCAAATCCTGAAAAATGTAGCGGACTAAACATATGGAATTAACATATACTACTAATCTCTTGTTTGGGGACCTCTGAAGATGGATTAAGTTGAAACGCATTTTCGGAGCAATGTAAGAGCAATGTGTTTAGATCTAGACGGAAAAATGGAAAGTAGAAGAGCGGCAGTCAATCAGCGCTGGTTTCGGTTTTCTGTATTGCTTACTACAAGTTTTGATTGGCTGCTGCTTTTCTGCTTTCTGTTTTTCTGTCAAGGTCTGAACTCACCCTAAATTTCGAATACGTGGCAGTTTCTACTGCAATTCGTGTTTATATCATTGATATACATGTAATACCCGAAGCGCACAAGCATAACATATGTAGGCCGTGGAAGTGAATACCTAATTTTATGAATCTCGAACACGCGATAGTTATCTCGTATTAATGGTGTAGAACTAATATTTCGTATCCGCAATTTGACTTCATTGTTTACGAGTACACATGTTCGTAATTATATGAAAAGTGATGTAATTTTATCATAATGAAAAATATTATTAAATATGTGCAAATGATTGCAATTTTAATTTTAAAACATTAAATTAGCAGCAAGACACATAAATTTTAATCTTATTTCATTGTTTGCAAAATTAAAAAATTATTAAAATTGAACTATACAATATTTTAACAAGATTTATTAATAATTTTTCCTATTTAAAAATGTATTATATCGTTCAAATTGTACACAATTTTATATAATTTTTGCCAACATTAACCAAGCTTGGAAGTTATAGATCTTTTTATCTTTTTTGCAAAGTGAATTCAAAAATATCCATCCAAAAATCGTATCTATACTATCCGATACTTCTACATTTTCCTCTATAAACAAGGCAGTCACACGTCTATCGTTCCAACGTTTCATCATGTCGCGAAATATCCCTGATTTGCTCTGAGATAGTAAACGGACTGTAAAGGGGATGATCCAAAATAATTCTGGAGAAGGAAGAAGACAGACTGGCGAAGGTTGCGATGTGCACATTGCGACTTTGTTTTATTGCTTGTTTTATTTTTAATGTTACGCGAGTTTTCGGGTGAGAGAACGCGACTGCAATAAAATAATGATGACAGGAAAAGGAGCTCGGAGAGAGTATGCAGAGAGTGTACCATAAGTAATATGTAGTACGCGCTTGTAGAATAAATTTATGGTCTAAGAATGTAATGAAAACAAAGTTTACGAGTATGTATCATTCATACAAATCAATCTTTAGAATAATCGCAACAATAAATCGCATTCAATTACATGTTTAATAAAATATGACACGTGCTATTGTTTAGTATTTTTTTCATATTAAATTCTATTTATGAATAAATTTGGATTTCTTTAAAAATTTGGATTTCTTAAAAAATTAAAAAAATAAATAAAGAATAAATAGTGACAAAAATGTATATAGTTATCCTCTGTAATAAAAAAATATTGTGTGATCTCTTTATCTCTTCTATAATAAATTTTATCGACGCGTTCAACATATTAACACATATGCTGCATATTAATTATGTGATCGATTATCTCCGATAATAATGAAACGTTCAACATTCACTATGTGAATGGTCGAGGCTGTTGTAATAGATATTTTCAGTTAATCATCGTCTGTACATTATATAAAGATTGTTAAAATCGATGGACAGTAAACATATATTATCGCTGGTAAAATCTAGATTGACTTTTATTAACGAAAATGCGAAAGCGTGAAGTTCTCAAGTTACAAGCTAATAGAAAAAAAGTGCGAATAAATAAAATATATTACTTTTCCAATTTAATCAAGCGAATTTAACAGAATTTTTATTTGATCCTCCCTCTGCAATCATACTTTTATTCCTAATCTGAATCTTTTTTCCAGCCCAAGTTTTTTACTGTTTTAAGCTTTCAAAAAATTCAGGATTACTTTTCAATATTTCTATTATATTATCGAATAGTTTAAAATTAAAACTTATATGTAATACAAATTAAAATGTGTGTAAAAATGAAGAAGAGAATGAAATTTCGTTTATAATAAAAAAAGATTCAAATAATTCAGATTACAAATGGAAAGTTAATTTTCAAAATATAAAATATTACGTTTTAATAATTATTATTAAAATTGCTTTACTGAATTTGTCAAAATATTAAAAAAGATATTAAACATTAAATAAATCATTTAAAAAAGCTTCTCTCATTTTTACTAATAATAAGATTAACTCCAAAACAGCCGTGTTTACTTTCTACTTAGAAGATTGAAAAGATTAAAATAATTAAACTCGTCACTTCGTTCGTGAAAATTATTCGCGAATTGTTTGAATCGTTCGTCAGTTACTACGAAATTCAATGTTCAAATTTCCTCTGTCTCGCACTGGAATCGAAATGCTCATTTCGCCAACTGAATGTTTGTGAATGAGAAGAGCCATGCGGCATGGAAGAGAGATCATCTGCAGTAATCTACATCAATCAAACCGACCGCGAGACGAAAACGGCCGTCAATACCTATCGGACGATACCGAAACGTTCGTTCGTCGCTTCGTCAACGAGCGTCCACCAAATCGAAAGGTGACACTGCGACGACTCGTCCGTGTCGATCACGGGGGTGCATAAACGTCGAGCGCCGCACGTGTCACTTGTCGAATTCATCGCGGTTGAAGCCGAATTGCGCCGACAATCTGCGTCAACTACATCCGGTCGGAGCGAGAGAGATTTGCCGTTACCTCACTGCCCTTCGTCCATAAATATTCTTGATCAATTCTCGTGGCATCGAGTTTTCAACAGCGCAAAGATTCGTCTCGACGCCATATTTTCCCTCACTAATGCGCCACATTGAACACGTTTTGTATCTAACCTTCAAACCATATTTAGAATAAAATGCACATAAAAGTAACCGGAGAAAATCAACTAATAATCTTACTTACATTTACGAGAACGATGTTATATTGAAGGACTTTATAATCCTTCGTTCTACAATTATGAGAAAATACTAGATAACGGTTCTGAAACATGCATAAAGAGAAATCGAGAATTTTCCGGAAATGTGTCTATAAATTGCGAAATTACAGAACGAAAGGCAATTCACAGCGTTCTCTTTGCAGACGTAGAGAAGAAAATTCAGACAGACTGGCACGGCGCAATCGGACTCCGAGAAGTGCTCTCTACCTACTTTTCGCGCCGTGGCTCCATTTCGTACGTTCGTATCCCCGGCGGCTACGCGGTACGACGCGCACCAAGTACGGAACACTATTAAAGAACCGACAAACACCAACACTCGCGTCCAACCCTGGCTGGCGACAGTACACTGCTAGAGGGAAGGCAGTGGTGACGACAATGACGATGTTTCAGGGCCCGCCGGCGTGCGCGACCGAATAACGCGACGGAAAAGCCGGGCCGAAAAGGAACACGTTCATCTCCCTCGACTACCACTCGAACACTGTCAGGTGTGCGCGGCGCACTACTACCATCACCGTTTCCCCCACCACCGCTATTCCCATCCCACCGCCGTCGCCCCACCATCATCATAGCTGCCGCCGCCGCCGCTGCTGCTGCTGCTGCTGCCGCC